TTGCAACTCATTGCTATTTCACTACGCCACGGAGCCGTCATATACATCTATCCTCGATTAATATTCAAAGTTCAGATGCATTATCACCCCTGAGGACTATGCCCCGTTTCCAGTAAAAATGGTCTCCGATTCTCTACACTCACCATACGAAACACAGCAACATTGAGGTGATATTTTACGCTGGTATTCTGTGAGAGCGTGATCCTTCCTCATTCGAGCCGACCCATTCGCGCTACTATAGTAAGTATAATATCCTATGCATGCTAGTGCTACAACCATAATATAACTGCCGCAACCGCATGGCTCTACCACTTACAAAATTCTGAATATAATATTTTAATAAACTTGACTCATCAGTCATCAGGGCGGCGCCACATAAAATTGAGGTGTTACGTTACTTTCTCTACTATTAGTTATATTTTATATTAATTAGATATTTTTTTTATAGGATAGGATGATAAACGAGCACACAGTCCACCCGATGGTAAGTGGTTGCTATGGCCCATAGACATCTACATTTATCCTCGTTTGCGAATCAAAATGCAGACGCGTTGTCAGCGATGAGAGCTAAGATGGAATGCCTCTTTTCCAGTAAAAAAGGTCTTAAGATTAAAATAAATAAACCAAACCACAGATATTCTTAAAAGTAAAAAAAAATAAAAAAAGAGTAAAAAATTTAAAAAAAATGAAAGAGCAAACCACTGAGTTATTGTTTTTTGTATCAATATAATACTCTAGAAACTAAATAAACTTTTATTTTAAACTAACTTCTCAACTAAATAACATTACGTAATAAAAAACTTCACCTCAGTGTAAACTAGCGACATCTGGTGAGTGGAAGATTATTAGCCCTCTTTGAGACCTACAAGAAAGGGCAGTATAACATCTGAAGAGTCATCAAAAGTTTTATATTATTGGACGAACATAATACTCGTATATATTATAATGTAATATAATGTAATGTAGTGTAAACATTGAGTTATATGTACTACGTACTAGAGAAGCCATTCCGAACATTGACTATGTTCAACTGAACTGTAGTGCAATCCATACAAACTAAATATTGCGTACATTGAAGATTTGTGAATTCCATAAAATAATAATTATTACATTTTATTTAGAAACATGTTTTTTTTTTTTTTTTTTTTTTTTTTTTTTATAGGATAAGGGTGACAAACGAGCACACAGTCCACCCGATGGTAAGTGGTTGCTGTGGCCCATAGACATCTACATCTATCCTCTATTACAAATCAATATGTAGATGCGTTGTCACCCGTGAGGACCAAGATGGAATGCCTCATTTCCAGTAAAAAGGGCCTCCGGCCACCTGCACTCACCAAGCGAAACGCAGAGGTAAACCTCTACTTCACGCTGGTTTTCTGTGAGGTCGTGGTACCACCCCGGTTCGAGCCGGCCCATCCGTGCGACTGAAAAAGCTGCCGCGTGGCTCTACCACTGTTGTTGTTTAGATTAAATTAAGATATTTTATATTAAATTCTTATATTTATTTTATATTAATAACTTATTTTATATTAAATTAAAGTCTTCTCACATGCGCGACTACTACACCCGCGCATGCGCGAAGACATAGAGTTGGAGTAGGACACAATTTTTGTTTGGATTGGCTTCTCTAGTACGTAGTACATATAACTCAATGAGTGTAAATTTATTTTTTGAATTTAGAACATTTGTTGTACCTTGTATCCATCTGGTTTTAATTTCGAGTCTCAAGTGTCTGCCATTATTTGCAAATAACCTGCTTAAATTAAAATTGGTAAAAAATTTCTTCGCGTAGATACGCTCTATAAAATAAAATGATGTGTCTTACCTAGTATGAAGAGCACTAGGTACGACACATCATTTTATTTTATCGAGCGGATGTACGCGAAGTAATTTTTTAACAACTTTAATATAATGGACTTCCGCAAAGAAACGTCTGATTCTATTAAATAATAACCTTCTTAACTTAGATTTTATATATATAGCATAAATACATTAAGAATTTTAAAGCAAAGTGATTGCTCTGTCTATCTTTGCTAGCTAAGGTTTTTGTTTCATTAATTCCTTACAGCCTATAAAAAATCCACTACTGAACGTAGACCTCCCCCATAGATTTTTCTCATAGGGTCATAGGAGGGATTGCCATAGATGCAAGCTTGGCAGGCTGGCTGCAACCACATTATTTTATTATTTTGAGTTGATATCAGGATAATGATGGTCAGCATCTTCTGTTTCATTTCCGTCTGTACTTTCTGGCTACATATACCGAATGATAGGGTAGGGGGCATTACAAGGCAATTTGAATTGGAGAATTAATACTTAAATTAATATATTAAAAATTAGCCATCCGCCCCGGCTTCGCTCGTTTGGTTTCTGAATCCCGACAACAACACCACCTACCGGGTCCATTTGTGAATCTAAGCCATTCTCTAATCAACTTAATCACACACAAAATTTCATCAAAACCGGTCCAGTCGTTTAGAAGGAGTTCAGTCACATACACACGGACGGAAGAATATTATATTATATAATATGCATGTATTATAGATATAAACTTTCCTCTTGAATCATTTTGTCAATTGATAAAAACCGCATCAAAATCCGTTGAGTAATTTAAGAACTAAGCGTACAGACGGTGGAAAGCGACTTTGTTTTATACTATGTGGAGCAGTGATTCCCAACCAATGGTCCGCGGACCACCAGTGGTCAGCAAGAGCTTAAATATGGTCCGCGAGAGATTTAAATATCTTACCTACCTAATCGTTTTAAATAACACATTTATTATTTTCTCCTCACGCTAGCAGTGCAACACCGCGCGTCACGTTAGTAAGTACCTACTAGCTTTTACAATAAATATGCAAATAATACTGTTTATAAATACTTCTTTTCAGTTTATTATATAACTATGTTAAAAGTTGTGATTATCATTTATTGTTAGATTAACACAATTTTTTCTTTCACATTGTGGCCCCTGGTCAAAAAAAATGTTGGGAAACCCTGATATAGAGATATAAGCATATAAGTTAAGTTAAAGGATAAATTAGTTTGGAGAATTGACAGAACAATAGAAATAGAAAAATATAATTTTATTCGGTTTATATTATTCCTAATACTTGAAAGTCATTTTAGATTTTATGTACCCATGGCTCGGAAAATACCTCTCATAATTTGTATGAATTCAATTAATTTATATTCATTAAATATTACGAGATTACTTCTTGGAACTCAAATATATATATACTGAGAGGCCAAAGTTAACATATTTTGTATTCATTTCTTTAAAATTTTCTCTAAGAGACACCTTCGGATTTAGATTATAAATGTGTTTCCTCTCTATCCAAAGTTTATCAAACAGAAGTTATCGAAAGGAAAGATACTTATAAGAGTCTTTATCATCATTATCATTACAGCCCTTCACAAGTCCACTGCTGAACATAGGCCTCCCTCAAGGAATGCCACAAAGCACGGTCCTGAGCTACCTGCATCCTTCGACTTCCTGCATGTCTTATCAGGTCTTTACTCTATCTAGTGGTATGCCACCCTACACTTCGCCTACCAGTACAAGGCTGCCATTTGAGAACCTTTCTTTCCCATCTGTTGTTGGTTCTTCGACCTATATGGCCAGCCCATTGCCACTTCAGCTTACTAATCCGTTGGGCTATGTCGGTTACTCTGGTTCTACTGCGGATATCCTCATTTTTAAGTCACGCAGAGAAACCCCGAGAATAGCCCTCTCCATAGCTCTCTGAGCGAACTTGAGCTTCCTCATACGGCCATCAGTGAAGGATTGACCTCTCATTCGAAGTTGGTCGAAGTAGGACTAGTTGAGCGACTAGTAGTTAGACTATTTGTCCCAGGTAAACTTACTCGTCAATGATTCCGAGCGTAGTGCTCCCAACAACTACCAGCCTAGGTAGGTATAGATTTACTCACGGGATGTTTGCCATAGTCGGCAAACGCGTTGACAAGCGCAGGTTTATAAAGTTAATAATTTTTATCATGACAAATAAATTGCTGATGATAACATCTATTTCATTTCACTCATTCATTAATTACAGCCCATTCATGCTGAATACAGGCCTCCTCCATAGATAGGCTCAAAAGGAAAATTTTGCCATAAATGTCAAACTTGGCAGGCGGGTTTGCAACCGCAGATTTTTATAAATTATTTTGAATTGTTATGAAGAAGATGCTGCTACCCATCTCTTTATTCACTTTCCCTTTGTCGTCTCTAACGACAACCAAAGATGTTTTGACCTATAAAACATCTTTGCATTAGACATATGTAATTATATAGACGGCATTTTGTACTGTATGTGTATTATAATAATTTTGTTAATTAATGACTGCGAATCTTTTCTCATATTCTATTCAGTTAAATAATTGTACCGCAATTATTTAACTGAATATAATATGAGTAATATGAGTACTTGTTTTATAAACACGAACCTGACTAAAAAATGACTCGGTATGAGCTCTTCCATCTGTGGCGTCCTTATCTATGGTGGCGTCTAAGAGCTGTCATGTGCTAGCGGAACGCAGCAGTGCGGCACGTCGGCTTTCGGTTACCTTTCGGTATATTAATTATTTTATGATAAAAAAAATTATCACCATTCTTAAGTTTTGACATTCTAGATGTGATCGTTTGTTTTTCCATTCTATGTAACATACTGTCTCTGAACAACCTCTTAAATGTAACTTGTTGATAAGCGCTTATAACGAATCAACGAACCTAGTTATTACGACTCGTAGTTAGCGTGTTAGCTCGTTCCCAGCTATATTGCTGCACTGTATACGGTGTACGCTACTCACTACTCTGTGGTTCTCTAACCGTGGCAAACCGGCAAAAAAGAAAATAGTCCGCGCGCGCATGCGCTTTGAGTTTGACGTGCGTGGTGTTTGACATTTCTTTACATTCGCGTTGCGGGGTTGACGTTTAATAATTCGTAATATTTTATAGTGGTTACATATTTTATTTAACAAATATATTGTGTAATAAAATGGATAGAAATTCTCGCAATCATTCGATAACTATGGACCGTGACACAAAGTCTATTATGAAAAAAATTTTGCTGGATTTTGCTATATTATTTTGCGGTAAGTTTATATCCCATCAGTTTTTTGTTATCACAATGATTACAATACATATACAATTTATCTTTAATTTTTAATTAATCTGCGTTGCTAGCTTGTTAGTATTTGCATATTTCAGTATACTTACTTCTCTAATATGACCTTGAATCAATTTCTGTTTTCTAAAAATATTATGTAGCTTTGATTATTTAAATTATGTCAAATAACCAAATGCTACAACTTACATTACATTGTACTATTTATTTAACTAGTAGATTTTGCAATTTGTATTTAAGTATAGGGCACCAGTTGTTTGAGATAACAAATACTATTATGAGGTAAAAAAAATTCTTACTCTCCTAAGTAGGTGCCTGTGTTTGAATTTGTAATAGATTTCTTTAATTCTTTAAACAAGGCTATATCAGTCTCAATTTTATTTCTTAAGTATTTTTTATTGTAAATTTGATTTTTTACCCTACCATATTTTTTTTAATAATATTTTTTTCTTTATATGCTTAATTTAAATAATTTAAATTTTTTAATAATACTGAATTAGAACCGTGCTTTGTGGCATTCCTTGGGGGAGGCCTATGTTCAGCAGTGGACTTGTGAAAGGCTGTAATGATGATGATGATGATGAATTATATATGAGGTTAATTATATCAAATAAGGATTTCTCACAATTTGTTTGAAATTACTATAGGATAATTCTATTAGTCTACACTTTGTTTTTATTTAGGATCAAAATATTACATTACATTGATAGGGAACACCTATGTGCAACAGTAATATGCATGAAAGCTTTATACTTAAATAAAATTGAATTAATTCCTGTATCAATGGAATTGGTGCAGGAATTAATTTAATTTAATTAATTTTGTTTAGCCTAGCACAGTATTTTGTGACAGAACCCGGGAAAGGCCATTGAAAGAGGATTGCAATGTTAATTAGTTTAAATGTAAAACTTGCAGCGAGTTGATGAATTTAGGCAATGATGGTGATGATAATGAAATAGTTAGAAAAATAAAACATAAATTGACTTAAATTCCACCTGATGGTAAGTGGTTACTACACTCCACGGGCACAGCCAATGGCTGCTGTGCATTTTATTCAAAGAAGGCTACTGGTACATTGTCACCTATCAGAATTTAAAAGGAATGCCTCAGAGTCTCTATTCCCTTCAGACCGGAATCAGTACTGCTTTTTGGTGGCAGAAATAGCCTAAAGGGTGATGATATCCAGATCTATCCGGACCAACTCCTAGGCAGAAAAAGAATCGTACAACCTTGATAATGAATGTTGTGTGGCATTAAGGAAGCCTGTGTTCACCAGCAGAATTGTTATAGGGTGTGATTGTGATAGGTAATGATGAAACAATAAAAAAAAAAACATTATTCTGTGGATTTCTAAAGTAGGAATTCATTATTGTCAGTTTCTCATAATTGGCCTGTGTACAGCTTTCCTTGTTTGTGATGGTGTTTTATGATACAATATTTACCAAATGTTGTAATTTCTTGTCAGGCTGTATGATGATGATGCAAGATCCAGGCTGTTGAATTGATTTAGGAATAATAGTGAAACAAGTAGTTCTATATGATTATAACTTGTGTACAATGTCATAATAAAAACATACATTTTGTTCAAAATATAGTATTGGGTTAACCTCTAAGTAATATCCACAGAATAAATAATAGATAACCTTGTTGCTTTTTATGTCTGTGGCCATTTCTTGTGTTTAAGGCTGTGTCTGTAGTTGCAATTTATGTAGGTGTTTGTTCTTAATTGGTACTTATTATTTCAGTGAGCCTTGTTGAGTACTAAATTAAAAAATTGATTTGGGTGGAGAGATGTGATAGCTAATTTCTTTTGGTAAAAATCGGAAATTTGGGGGAAGAATCATTAACCTAAACTATTTTAAAAAATTTCATACCTAAATGGTGTGTTGGTTGCCACTAGCAGTAGATAAGATCTGAGGCTTCTTTGTGGTAATGATGGTGTTACGTGGGATCAATTTGGTAATTACTCCACTAACAGTTTCCAAGAAACATTGTCATGATCTGTATGTTAAAATTAGAGTAAATTTAACAATACATAAATGCCTATACGCAGTTGTAGATTTATAAGGTGGTTAATTAAATTACCATTATGATAATTAATTAATAGGGACATTTCCTAATCCATACTTATACTAAATATGAAATAATTAATAGAATCAGGTGTTACTTTGCGGAAGTTCATTATATTAAAGTTGGTAAAAAATTACTTCGCGTACATCCTGTCAGCCACCGCAGAGTCCAGATTAACAGTGGTAGAGCCACGCGGCTGCTTTTGCTGTCGCACGGATGGACCGGCTCGAACCGGAGTGGTACCACGACCTCACAGAAAACCAGCGTGAAGTAGCGGTTTACCTCTGCATTTCGCTTGGTGAGTGCAGGTGGCCGGAGGCCCTTTTTACTGGAAATGAGGCATTCCATCTTAGTCCTCACGGGTGACAACGCATCTACATTTTGAATTGTAATAGAGGATAGATGTAGATGTCTATGGGCCGCAGCAACCACTTACCATCAGGTGGACTGTGTGCTCGTTTGTCACCCTTATCCTATAAAAAAAAAGATTACCTGAAGATGCCTCGTGTAGAGGCGAAACACGTGCCGTATTGTCGTCAGTGGTGTGTCTTTCCTAGTGTAGTGGTGTTGGGAGTAGTGGTGCTGGGATTAGTGGTGACGGGGATAGTGCACGCAATTGAGGGAGGGCGGGAGGTGCTCTTCAAACTAGGTAAGTCGAGTCTTTGCTGAACAAAGTCTCGGATTGGGGGCGACTAAATCTAGTCCAGTTTAATCCTCAGAAGACACAAGCTTGCGCGTTTACCGCTAAAAAGAACCCCTTTGTCGTATCTCCTCAGTTTCAAGGCACTCCCCTTCTTGCCTCAGCCAGTATCGGAATCCTCGGATTGGCCTCTAAAAAGCTTGGCGTGCTCAGCAGAGCGGGACAGTATTTCATGCCGGCACACCGCCTGCAACTTTATAAAGCACAGGTTCGGCCTCACATGGAATACTGTTCCCATTTCTGGGCAGGGGCTCCCCAGTGCCAGCTCCTTCCACTTGACCGCATCCAGCGCAGAGCGGTTCGAATCGTCGTCGACCGAGTCCTTTCCGATCGGCTCGATTCATTGGCACTGCGAAGAGATGTTGCATCCCTTTGCATTTTCTTTCGCATCTACCACGGGGATTGCTCTGAGGAATTGTTCGGATTAATCCCAGCCGCCAAATTTCACAAACGCACATCGCGGCAGAACTCCCGATACCATCCACACCATCTGGATGATTGGCGGTCCACCACTGTGCGATTTAGATGATGTTTTCTTCCTCGCACGTCTTCCTTGTGAAATCGATTACCATCAGCGATTTTTCCGTACCGATACGACTTAGGGACCTTTAAGAAAAGAGCGTACTCCTTTTTAAAAGGTCGGCAACGCATCTGCAATTCCCTCTCTGGTGTTGCAGTTGTTCATGGGCGGCGGTAGTCACTTACCATCAGGTGAGCCTCATGCTCGTTTGTCCCCTCTCCTATAAAAAAAAAGGTAAGACACATCATTTTATTTTATCGAGCGGATGTACGCGAAGTAATTTTTTTACCAACTTTAATACTAAATATGAAAGGCAAGGGCGCGGGATTGGTATAGACGACTGTTTTTCATCTATTTTTAAATGCGATAAATTTAAGTACAAACACTATACCTAGATAATGAAAATCGAATAACTTACGAACTAGGTAAGTTACCAAGGCCGAGTGACAATCGTGTGTTAGTTTCTTTAACCATTCTAAGCCATGGATTTTGTTCAACTTCTATCCCTGACGGTAGGTGAGTGGTAGCTTAACTAAAGTCTTTCTCCTCTTCCCTTAAAGACGCCCAGATTATACCTAATCGAATGGAAAGACATATCATTGAACACGATATCGTCACTTAGCAAGTGTTCCTATAGCCTTTCTGGGTTATTATGATTTAAAGAGGCTTGCTCACTACCTGATGGTAAGTGACAAAGTTTGATGTTTTTTAAAAAAATCGGCTTTAAGTAATAATTCCCCACCGTAAAGATCATGGACTTCAAAGGCGGAACCCACTATGAACTAGTTCTAAACATAGACAATGTTTTATTACGTAGTCATGTCAGGTTTTCTTAATTTTACGTTTGTATTACGCCATTTGTCGAACACCATTAAATTTACTGGGCATTTACCTCGTGAGAAGATGACGAAATCGATTTGTTTAAAAGGTCCTCTATTCTCGTCTCTAACTATTGAAACACAATACTGTATATTAAAAAAAAAACAACTACCCTGGTGTTCTCTGAGACCGAACCAACTGAACTGTGGTCGAACTGACTCATTCGTTATTCTACGTGCCCTACGTGGCTCTACTTCAACAGAATCGCTGACAGAACTTGTGCGTAGGAAAGTATTGCTTTGGTTTCTATTAATTCTTTTGGGAAATTAAGGCACATCTTCTCGTCAGGTATACCACAAAACTTGAGAACGAGACTGTACAACCAGTGCGTGTTGCCAGTGATGACCTATTGAACTGAGACGTGGTCCTTCACTGCTGGCCGGATGAGGAAGTTCAAGGTCGCTCAGCGAGCTATGGAGAGGGCTATGCTCGGAGTTTCTCTGCGTGATAAACTTAGAAATGAGGATATCCGCAGTAGAACCAGAGTGATTAACATAGCCCAACGGATTAGTAAGCTGAAGTGGCAATGGGCCGGTCATATAGGTCGAAGAACCGACAACCGATGGGAGAAAACCCTGGTAAGACACGCAAGAAATCGATGGATGCAGGTGGCTCAGGACCGTGTTTTGTGGCATTCTTTGGGGGAGGCCTATGTTCAACTGTGGACTTGTGAAGGGCTATAATGATGAATGATGAAAAACAAAGGAGGTAATAAATACGGTGAAATCTGGTTAAGTGGGTCCTGGATATGTGAGAAACCTCTTATTTTATAGTTATTATATATTTATATATTTTGTAT